GTGAACTTGCAGAGGCTGGTAAGAGGACTTGCATGCGTATATTGTCTATTATTGCTGCCTTTCTATTGGGTATTCATTTGTCTATTGGCTAATAGATCCCCCATTCAGATATTAACAGAGCACTGCCTTTCAGATTTTTGCTGATAACCTTATAGAGTGCCTTCCAGTGAATCTGGGAATTCTTCAGTCTATGAAGGTTCTGATGCTTGATAAGAATCGAATGACAGCCTTACCTGATGAATGTAATACACTCCCCCTCAAGCAACAGCATTTTATCATCATCTTGTTCTTCACATTATACATCCTGGTTCTAAAAGTACTCTACTTTGCTTTTTCGGTCTGTGAATGGTACAGTTGAATTCTCTCATGAAATATGCCAAGATTCCTTGTTTATTAACTGCAATAGTGTTCATTCGTTCAGTAGGCCAGCTAGTGAAGCTGGAGTTCTTATCTGTCTCAGAGAACTCTTTAGTAAACTTGCCTGATACAATTGGGAGCTTGCGCAATGTGAGTTGCTTCTAACTGAATTTTTTACATACATTTAAGTATTTAGAATTGCTTTTTTATACCCTTATCACATGATGTAAAGATCATTTGGGGGAATATAAGCATGGCTCGCCCCAAGATCAATAAAAAACATTTAGTTTGATGCAATGTTTCTCACTTGATTCAAGCATGGCTCGGCCCAAGCATGTTTTTTATGCCCTTAATACCTTCAGTTCCATTTTGATGCAATGTTTCTCACTTGTTCATCACTTGTTTTTGTTATGACCAAGATGTTCTATATTCATGTTCATAGTCATACACATTTTGGTTGCCAAACTAACCCCTGCTTTCTTGGGCTATGCAGTTAGTTCTTTTAAATGTGTCAAGCAACAAATTGACATTGTTGCCAGAATCTATTGGAAACTGTTCCTCTCTGGAAGAATTACAAGCAAATGGTAGCTTATGATCTAGTCATCACTCCTGTAGATGTGCATTTTTATTAGCCTCCTTGCCCATAAACGAAGTGGGTCCATAATCTTCTCTAACGATTTGGCCCACAGAGGACATTTGCTCATTAAATCAAATAATCCTTCTGTCCCCAAATAAAAGTCTTGGTTTGACTTCATGAAGTTTAGGAAAATTGTTGAAAAGTGAATGGATATAGAATGTTTTTAGAGGAGAGAGAAATATTGTAAGCCACTTATTCCTTTCCTTTTACGGAAAGAAAAGACGTGGGAAATTTATTTTGGGACATACGAATGGAAAGTGAGAATTTTATTTGAGGATGGAGGGACTACTACATAATTCCTTAGATGTATCTGTCCAGAATAGGTTTACTCCTTAATTGGTCTGTATGATATCTATATCTACTTTATCAGTCTGTCACACTCTTGGCATTGCAATGGATGCAAGCGACTAATACATTCAGCTGACCAGTCATTGATTTGTTGACTCAATTTTTTTCAGATTATTCAATACTCTCGCCGTCCCTAGGTTAAGTTTCTATTTTCATTTTTGAGACTTCTCATAATGAAGTTCTCATTTCTTTTAAGAAAAGAATTATGTGGTTCATATGATTTTTCTATCCTCTGTATAGATTCAACCACACAATTTAACTTTTTCTTAAACTCCATAAAAAAGCTGGAACATAAATTAGGACTGGAGGGAGCATTTCTCAAGTGCATCTTTATCTGCAGTGGAACTCTCTGAAAAGTCTATGTTTTCATAATTTGAGGCGGCTATTCAGTTCTCTGATAAGTTACTGATACAAATAAGTATTGACCACTGTTATGTGATACTTATAGAATCCCTAGATTTTCTCTTTCTCTCTCTCCTTCTCTAATTCCCTCTGTTTTTAATTTCTCTTATATCTAACCATGGAGCCACATGATAATTGGTGTGGGGGTGAATTTGTGCTCATGATAGTAGCGTCTTTATTCCCACAATTGGTCTATATTACACTCGCTGATTGATATGACACATACTAGTTGTAATCGGTAACACCAGCAGTTTGGTTTTGAATGCGGAGTACTTTTTCTTGTTTTAAATCATTTTTTTGAAAACTTGTCATAGTATGATGATGCTACATTTCAGTTTCTGCCTGTTCTTTTTCATTGTCATAAGTATTAACTAATGTTACAGATAATTCTATTGAAGAACTCCCGGCTTCTGTTTGCAGCCTTGTTCATTTAAAGTCATTACGCTTGAACAATAACAATCTCAAACAGGTATGTGTGCCTAATCTCTCCTTTCTTTGTAGCGAAAAAATGCTTTTCAACTCTGAAAATAATTCAGTTTCTTGTATTTTTGTTGATAGATGCACATGTTAACTATTGGACCCTTGTGTTTATACATAGTTCTGAATTTCTGATAGCCACAAGGTGTATCACATTTTTGACACTTTTGTTTTTGCATCTTATGCCAAATGCCATCTTCTAAAAGATACATATTTTTCGTAATAAAAAATAAAAGATCATTTTGAAGTAAATGTTCATATTCTATAACACTTGGTGTAAGGTGTGTAGTGTGCATTGTGTAAACCAGTAATATTCACAACATGTAAAGATGTAAGAAATTATGGTTGTTTGATAACTCGCATGATGTGTTTGATTTGTCAGTTGCCTCCAGATTTGTTACAAAAGTGCAAAATGTTACAGAGCATATCCCTTCACGGCAATCCTATCTCTATGGATCAATTTCAACAGGTTGTTTTCTGTTATTTGGCGTGTCATTCTATTTGATGGATTCTTTACATATACAATGTTTTTCCATCATCTCCGATGGAGCCAAAATTTCACCATTTTTTGGCGTGTCAAGCAATGCAACTTTCGACGTTAAGCCGGGGGTCTCTTTGGAAACAGCCTCTCTACTTTCAAGTAGGGGCAAGGTCTGCGTACACACACCCTCCCCAGACCCTACTTTTGTGGGATTTAACTGGGTTGTTGTTGTTGTTGTTTACATATACAATGTCAATATCCTAAATAAATGTTGAATATTACCCGAGTATTTCCCCTTTTCAGATGGAAGGTTTTCAAGAATTTGAAGCTCGAAGGAAAAAGAAAATTGATAAACAGATTGATTCTAATGTGATAATTAGCTCAAATGGGCTAGACGCAGGGGTTGACCAATGACACCAATGACATATCTGTAAAGGTTTTCAATACACTTCTTTGAGTAATTTTATTTGTACCTATTACTCTTAGCTTTGGGAAAAACACATTTTAAGACTCTTGAGCACGTCATAGACTAATTAAGCGATTTCGTGTAGTATTTCTTTTCGCACAAAACCAAATAAATTACACGCCCACCCAAGAAAGCTTTGTTTTGTTGGTATTGCTTGAATGTAATGATGAAAACACCAAGGGCTTGTTTGGTGAACGAAGCAACGTTGATGTGAGTTTATGACGTATTTTTCATATATTGCGAGTGGCCTAATAATATTTCCGCCCCTTTACAAACCTTTGTCTCAAAACGACATGTTTGATTCTAATGAGCACAGTTTCTCAATAACGTTAAAATAGTGTGCCTGATTCTACTAGGCATGTTTTTAAAGTGAAAATTAGGGAAACAAAGATTAAAATAGAAGTAAAATATTGAAAATATACTTAAGTAAGAGTTTCATATTTTTATTTCCGAAATAGAATGTAAAATGCATTTACATTACCAATCATGATAATGTAAATTATACGGAGTAAAAAAAAGTATAGTAATATGCATAAGTACGGTACCTCATGACAATAATGCAAACTCCTATTTAGGGAATAAAAAATTAGAAGTCTTATTTTGGTTTTTTTTCTATGTGTTACTCCTATTTAGGGTCATTTTTTAAAAAACTATGGGGTATGCTTTTGGTGGATGAAATTTTTAATAAAGTATAAATTCACTGAATAAGATTAATTTGATATAAAAAGCTTTTCTATCATAAAACCATATGAAAAAATATTTTACGTATGCACCATATTTTCAACAAAGTTTGGTATATACTCTAATATGTATGTATGTATGTGTGTGTCTATATATATATATATATATATATATATATATATATATATATATATATATATATATATATATATATATATATATATAGATATATATAGACACACACACACACATATATATACATATATATATACATACATATATATATATACATACATATATATATATGTGTGTGTGTGTGTGTGTGTGTGTGTGTGTGTGTATGTATATATATATATGTGTGTATATATATATATATGTATATATATATATGTATGTATGTATGTATGTATATATGTATATATGTATATATATACATACATACATACATATATATATATATATATACATATATATACATATATATATATATATACATACATATATATATAAATATATACATACATACATACATACATACATACATACATATATATATATATATATATATATATATATATATATCACAGCCAAAACTGCCGGAATTCATGGTTGGGAAAAACTTTTTTCAGAAGCTCTCAAATCATTAACAGAAGATGATAAACTGCAAGGATCAGCTCAAGGTGAATTCAAGGGTTGTCCTTCAATTTTCTTTACACAAGAAGATATTCTGAAACTCTCCAAGAAATTCACCAATGCTCCGATAGGAACATTTGCTCGTAGACCACCATATGCAGTCATGAAGAACTTCCTGCAGAAGCTTGGCCTTCAGGGGGAATTTACGTTTGGGTCACTCTCCTACAATCAGTGTCTTATTAACTTTCAGTTTTTGAAAGATTATCAAAGGATATTTCTTAGGCAAACTTGGTCATAAGGCAATCAAATTATGGTTGTAACCAAATGGACTACTAATCACTCAGAAGGGGTTGATTGTCCAGTTGTTGCAGTTTGGGTCAGCTGTCCTAAACTTCCAGTCTTTCTTCATGACCAGAGAGCCCTCTCTATCATAGCTTCTGCTATAGGAAGGCCTCTAAAAGTTGATGAAAGCACACTCAGGTTCTCTAGACCTGAACTGGCTCCTTTTTGTGTTGAAATTGATGTTTCTAAGCCACACCCTGCTAAGATACATCTTAAACTGGGAGGGAAAGACATTTTTCTACAGCTTTTGTATGAAAACGTTCCTCACTATTGTTCTACATGTTCTAAATTGGGGCACTTGAAAGTTCACTGTAGAAATCAAGATAAGGAATTCATTCACACATCTCAACCCAAAGAAAACAAAGGCAAAGAGTTAAATGGGGAATAGTGGACTGTCATTACCTCCAAAAGAGGAGGGCCTGGAGCAGTCTGGAAAAGGAAGATGGGGCCCTTTCTTTCTGGACCTAGGGAATGTTCCAAAGCATATGTGGATAAGGTCACTCCAGCACCAGCTGTTCCGACACCAATGGCTCAACAGCTACAGGACAAGATCACTTCAGTACCAGCTGTTCCCACACCAGTTGTTGTCCCACATCTAGACAATGCCTCTCTAGTACCAGCTGTTCCCACTCCAATTGCTGTCCCACCATCAACAGCTCCCACATCTGCACTTGCCACTTCAGTTCCCATCCCAATCCAGAAGCTGTAAACAATATGGCTTTGATCCTATGGAAATCCTTGCCTATTGCTGAGTCTAAATTCTCACCACTCCTTTACAAGAAGAAGAATATGATAGTGATGATTCAGATTGGGAGGATTTAGGGATAATGTATGATACCCATTGCATGCATTACCAATCCTAGAAAATGGGCAACAGAACCAGTTCAACTCTTCAATTAAATCTAGTCTCAGATCTGCCAATAAGAGTTCTATTCACTCAGTGTCCTAATGAAAGTTCTTTTTTTGGAATGTTTGTGGTATCAAGTCTTCCCTCAATCGACTTATTCAACTCAAGAAGTGCTACAATTTTCTTTTCTTAGCTGTTTTTGAACCTATTGTCGAAGACAAAAAACTGGACTTTTATAGACTCAAGCTTGGCTTCAATCATGGTTTTTCAACACAATTTAATACATGCTAGATTTTTTGGGACAGAAACAATCTCACTCTATCCCAAGTCCAAGAGGGTGAACAAGATGCTACTTGCCTCTTCAATTTTGTGGAAAGTAATGCTCCTATCTTTATTCGTTCAGTTTATGGATTATGGGAGGGGATAAACCATGGATTGTGGGAGGGGATTTCAACACTATTACCTCCTACACAGAGCATAAAGGTAGTAGCACTCCGTGTTTCAGAAGTATGGAGGAATTCACAGACTGTATTCTTAGCTGCAGTATTTTGGAACCCACCATTAAAGGCAGCATATACACATGGATGGGCTATAGATCTAAAGAGAGGGTTTTATGCAGGCTTGACCGGATTCTCTTAAATCAAGACTTGAATCACACAAGTTTTAGCAACACTCAAACAAGATTGAGTTTACAGCACAGGAATGAAAGCTCACACAATTGAGCATGAAGTGTTAAAACATGAAAACTCTATGGATGACAATATCTTTAGCACTCAATAAAAATATTTTTAACTCTAAAAATAATATATTTCATGAGGAAGATGGAAGCAAGAATTGAATATTGAGTAATGAAGGTTTGGAGTGCAAGAGATAGGGGTGTTCAAAAATATCCGATCCGAAATATCCGTCCATGATCCGGGCCGATCCGATCCGATAAATCGATATCCGATCCGATATTTTAGCTTTCGGATATTTCGGATCGGATACCCGAGAAAAATCAGATCGGATATGGATTCAATTTCTGGAATTTTTCAGATAATCGGATATCGGATTTTTTTTTGCTATATGTTTTTGGAATTTTATGGATATATATTATGACTATATGTTTAAATGTAATTTTATGGTTATTTTGGAACTCAACCATTTTGGACTTTTTGCATTAGCATCTTAGAATTTTTTGTTTTAATAGTGTTTTTTATTTGTTTAGGCAAAATTACCAAAGTTACTCTAAATTTGGTGTCATTTTTTACTAGGTCATTGCCAAGTGGTGAAATTTTTCTTTTAGTAAATCTATATTGAATTTGATATTTTGGGTTGATTTTGCTATTTTACCTTCTTTTTTTTGTAAATTTTGGCTAAAAACTCAACTTTTCGGATAATCCAGTGATCCGATCCAAAAAAACGGATATCCGAATTTCGGATATCCAATTATTTTCGGATCGGATATGGAATGACTTTTACATGATCCGAAATTTTCAGATATCCGAATTTCGGATTGGATCGGATCGATCTGATTGAACACCCCTAGCAAGAGATGTGTTTTTTATGAAGGCGGATGAGAGATTTTATAGGGTTAAAAGAAATAAATTCGTTGAAGGTAGGGAGGAGCTGATTTTGACAGATTAGAATGTTGGGGATCAATCTAAACCATGGGATCGATCACCTCGAGTTAAGATTCGGAAATAATTTTCAGTCAAAAGGGCAAAGGATCGATCCAAAGGAGTAAGAATTCGGGAATGAGTTTTTGTCGGACGCACGGAGGATCGATCCAAGAAGGATGATCGATCCTCCGATGAAAAATACTGAACATAAAGTGATCGATCGAGTAGACTGGATTGATCCAACTCCTAGAGCACTCACACGGTGATCGATCCAATGAAAAGGATCGATCCCCTGACGAACAAAGACCAAACATGAGGACCCAAAACATGTGTGTGAGTGGGATGTACAATTTGGAGTATTTTTATTTTGTTTTAGACAAGTTTTAGGATGATAATGCTCCCAAAAATATATTATGTGTCAAATGGTGTACATGAAAAATATTTAAAGTATATTTTTCTTACCACAAAAAATTTGTGTAACTTAAAAAAATATTTTTAAGAAATTTTGACACACAATTTTGAAACTGACTCTGTAATTATTTTTAGACAGAGAAAAAATGATTTTTCAACTGACTCAGAAAATAATAATTTGTCCCTCAGAAATTGATTTTTTTATGCAAAAAATTGTTGTCATCCTTACAAAAATTCCCAGACTCAATACAAAATAAAAGCCTTTGGAATCTTCACTTCACTTCAAAAATACATCGTAGTGGTTAGCGTTGATTTTTATCATTGTTTTCTTGATACGCCTCTTTGCTTTTCTCGATACGAAAATAAATTTTCGATCATCGTTGTTTTTAATCATCCTGTTTGTCATTTATCAAAATTAAAAAAATATTCCACAATATATAAACGGGATTTGAACTTATGTCCAACATTAATAATGTGGGAGAAAAAAGTAATTTTTTAGTCAATGCAAAGGGCCGGGGAGAGGAGGAATCATATTAACACATGAGAGAAGAATCATGTTTTCGTCAATGTAAATTAGTTCGACAGAGAAGAATCATGATTTTTTGAATCGTAAAATTGTAAGATCCGAAATCCAAGTTTTTTAAATAAATGCGAGGGAGAAGAATAATAAAATCACTAATATTTTGTAGTAATAAGGGGTAAGAAGAATTATATGTTTATAGAAATTTAGTAAACCCAATCCATATATATATATATA